TTTTTTTTGTGGGGGGGACAAAAGCTCCAATCTATTTGTGGGTAGCAGGACGTGCTGGGAACCGGGCCCAGCGTCCCATATAGAGTTACACAAGTCATTTAAGATACCGGGGCCATTACCCGGCTTCGGCTGAGAATCAATATGAGAACTATTGAAGAAGCTCAAGAGAATTAAAGGAGAGGTCGAATGCTTAGAATCCCTAAACTCCCAAACAAAATTCTCTAAAACTGTCAACACTGTCTTATTCCCTGTGGAGCTCTCCCAGGCCTCACACCCCCACCCCCACCCGACTAGGTTACAAAGCAACATGACTCGCCCCAGCTCCAGCCAGCGTCCTCCCAACAGCAACCCTTGGTTGTCCCTTGGAATGCCCCCCCAAAGCATCCCCAGATCTCTCTACCAGGCCTCACGCTCCTGCAATCAGCAGGTTACAGGGCAACACCCCAGCACCGGCCGGCGTCGTTCTGGCATCGAACAACCGCAGATCCATGAATGTATCAGTATTAAACAACCTAAAGCGAGTTGCTAGAAGTCCCCAGAATCCTAAACCATTGTCTATTTTTGCTAAGAAACAAAAACATATGCACAATTCAGAAAACAAACTCAGATACCAATCGATCCCTTATACCCCACTCCGGCAAGACTTACTGCAGCAGAGCCACCATCTCCGTTGCTGCTGTACCCTATTCCCATCCTAGTAGGACGCGTGATATCCCACCATCTCCTCTCCCACTCACCTCGATCCCTTTTTCGAGATACCAGGGCCATTACCCGGCTTCGGCTTGAAAAAATGTCTGAGAATACTTGCGATAATTCAGAAAATATATAGATACATATATATTTTTAGGCCACAGGGGTCCTGCAAATGTTCCAAAAACGTCGAAATCCCTCACAACCCCTTCCAAAGTCCTCCAAAACTATCTTACTCTCTACCGAGCTCTTCCAGGCCTCACACCCCCACATCCTGCTGGGTTACAGGGCAGCACAACTCACCCCAGCTCCGACCAGCGTCATCCCGGCAGCAACCCTTGAGTGTCCCGTGGAATGCCCACCCCAAAGCATCCCCAGATCTCTCTACCAGGCCTCACGCTCCTGCATTGCAGGTTACAGGGCAACTCCCCAGCACCGGCCAGTGTCGTTCTCGCATCGAATAACCGCAGATCACTGAGTATAACAACATCG